CCAACTCAAAAAAAAAAAAAAAAGAAGAAAAAGAATTATCCTGGACTGGGCACAGTGGCTCACGCTTATAATCCCAGCACTTTGGGAAGCCGAGGCAGGAGAATTGCTTGAGTCCAAGAGTTTGAGACCAGCCTGGGTAACATATCAAGATCTTGTCTCTACAAAAAAAATTAAAAATTCAGCCAGGCATGGTAGTGTGCACCTGTACTCCCAGTTACTAGGGAGGCTGAGGTGGAAGGATCGCTTGAGCCCAAGAGCTCAAGGCAGTGGTGAGCCATGATCATGCCACTACACTACACTTCAGCCTGGATGATAAAGCAAGTTCTCAAAAAAAAGAATTATCATGCTCAAAATGTTACTTAGTGCCCCTATTTAAAAATACTGCCTGAGATATCCTATCATCTGAGTTTCTAAGTAAAACAAGTGTTTTATTTCACCTTGAACCGAAGAAAATATATTACTCAAATATATTTCACAATCAAAACCACAAACCAGGCCAGGTGAACCCAGGGATGAGAGAAGTTTAAATCTGGGGAAGAGAATAGCTGACCACCAACTGTGTGTGGGGAAGGCCTGGTCCAGGGTCAACACTTGCCCAAGAAAAAAATCACAAGTCCCTAAGGAGCCCTTTTGGACAGGCTCACCTATAAGAGGGTATCTGTGGGACAGTGACCATGGGGGCAGCAGAGGGTGTGTCTCGGCCCATGTCCTCTGGCTCCTTCTTGATCTTTTGCTTCGAACTCATCTTGTTCTTCTTGGGCACTCCTTTGAAGGGGCCCTGGCATTCTGGCTCCTCCTCCTCCACTTCTTCCTCTTCTTCCTCCTCCCCACCACCTTCCTTCAGCCCTTCCTCATCTCCAATCTCAGTTAGGCTTCCTGGAGAGTCGCCCTTCCTCCTACCAGTGGCAGCACCTGGTGGCGAGTGGGCCTCACAGTAAGCAGTCTTACGCACTGTGAAGATGGTGCCATTGAGGCTGGTTTCACGCATGGGCTCAATCTTCATGAAGAGTCCAGCCCGCTGTGCACACGTCACATGGAAGGCTGTGTAGCAGTTCACCTTATGGCACTGGATGGCTGCACCTAGGCCCTTCTGCTTGCAGATATAGCAGGTTAGTTTCCAGCGGGCAGGAGGGATATTGTCGATGCCCTCAATAGGTTCCAAGAACACGGTGTTAGCGAAGCAGACTTCAGGGATCCAGATGGCACACACCACATGGGCCCAGTGCCCATCACTGGTCTGTTTGAAGGCGCCACCTTTATTGGGGCAGAGGACACAATCTACAGGACGGGAGGGAGACTGCAGGCAGCAGCGGCATAGCCACTGGCCCTCAGGGATGTAGGGGACGCCATAGCACTCCTGGTGTACTGCCAGGTTACAGATGTCACAGAAGAGAATGACATTGCTATTGTGACATTCATCATCCAAGCACACACAGCAGAAGGCATCCTCATCAATGAGTGACTGTTGGGCGCCACTGCTACGACTCTCCAAGTATGACTCCTTCTCAAGCCGGTCCACCAGCAGCTCAAAGGTGTCTGCTGACACCAAACTGTGCCCATCTACTCGTCGCTTCTCATTCACCATGTCGAGCCAGGCAAGGTCTTCCTCATCCATATCATACTCTACCTCTGCATCCAGGTCTTCAGGTGGCTTCTCAATGTAGCGGTAGTAGGCAGCAGGCAGAGGGGGTGCTTCTGGCTGGCTGCCTGAGTCCACCATGCGGAAGCTGGGCTGTGGGAGGTGGAAGGAGGTGCCGGATGCATGCTTGGAGCAGGACTCCTTCTTTTTGCCCTTGGATGAAGGTTTCTTGGACTTACCAGGGAACTGAGGCTGCTCACTGTTTTCCTTGTTGCTATTGCATTCAGTGATATCCTGGGCGGTCAGCTCATCCTCGGTGATGATCTTGAGTGGGTCATAGATGCTGATACGATGCAGGCGTCCATCAATGTCTACCTCGACAATCCGTTGGGCCTGGGCATATGTCAGGGTCTCCCGGGTGGGTGAACACTTGAGACTGTAGGGGGATGGGGAACGACGGCCCTCGGCATTGTGCCGCGACTTCCGACGAGGCTTCCTCATGGTACCTGGGAACCAAGGAGAGAAGGCCAGGAGACTGTGAGCTGGATGTTTATGCATTCATGCACCCATTCACCCTTTCATCTGACCAAGTGGCCACCAAGAGGACTGGCTATTCCCTCTCTCTGAACAACCTGCCCCTCAGGTATCAAGATAGCTTGTTCTTTCACCTCCTTCAAGTCTTTCACTTCTTCAACTGAACATCACTTCTCAGTGATATCCTGACTACTCTTTAACCTAAAGTTGCAAATCCTTCTCTACCAGCAATCTATCTCTCATCCTGCTTTATGTTTCCCTTTAACACTCACCATCTTCTACCATGCTATATAATTTACTTATTATGTTTATTGTTTGCTTCCTTCCACTAAAATGTAAGCTCTATGAGGGCAGAGATTTTTGCCTGTCTTGTTCATGCTGTATCCTCAGCAACTAGAGTAGGGCCTGCCTCCTAAGTAAGCACTCAATAAGTACCAGTTGAATAAAAGAGGATATCAAACACTTATGATTCTTGCCCTCAAGGAGCTCTAACTGAAGGGGCAGAAAGGTAAACAAATCATTACAGTATGACAGGGGGAAAGACCTAATGTTCTAATGATGTATATACGAGGCTGTAGAACAGTTAACTATGGAAAAACAGCAAGGGGCTAAAGCCTTCAGAAAACAGGAAAACAAGAACAGCATACATTTTCAAGCTCTGTATATGATACTGCGCCCCATCAAAGAAAAAAAAATTCTCAGGTCTAGCACCCTTTCCTAACCCATCTTACCATATCAGAAAACCTATTACCTGACGCTGTCCAAAGATGAAAGGGTGAAGGTATCCGAAATGCCTATCACATGTAGCCTGTGAGTTTTAAACTACAGTGTGCAGGGTATTCCCTGCAAAAGGCAGCATCCAGAATGCACTGACTACTATATTTCCAAACAGAAACCCTGGAAGCTCTGAAAGTGGCTCCAAGAGATCTCTGAAGTTGTAAATGGCCTATCTGGGACCTGCATTGGACCCAAGGCTAAGATGATCAGACCAATATCCGAGGTAAATTCTCAGTGCGTTCTGTTACCTCAAAAGTCCCTCTCTCCCAAAATACTTGCATCTAGTTTGCCCTTGTACAGCAAAGAGAAAGCCCTGAAATCTCCCACATCATCCTCTGGATGGAGAGAGCTATGACGAGCTTCTAAGTGGTAGGCAGTTACCAAAGCTGTCACTACTAGGAAAGACCTTTAGGGAAATGGTGCTCTACAGTGTGGGCATATTTGAAAGGGCATGAAGGGAGAAGATTTCAAGGAGAAAAACAGAATTCATCACATTGGTTGCAGAATCTACTAACTTTACCTACAAAGTAGAGATGGTGATAATAATTTAGCACATGCTTACAAACTACTTCTACTATTTCTCACAACTACTGGGAGACAGTATAGATATTATCATCTTCATTTTACAGATGAAGAAACAGAGCTCAGAAAGATGTCACTTAACCCAAAGCTAGTAAGTGATAAAGCTATAATTTGAACGTAGGTCTTCTGACCTGCTCAACTCATCTCACTGAGAGGCAAGACACCAAAGATGGTATGGTTAGGTAAAAAGAGGCTCTGGGGCAATCTAGGTTCCTTTTTTTTTTTTTGAGACAAGATCTCTGTCACCCAGGCTGGCATGCGGTGGCACAGATCATAACTCACTGCAGACTTTAATACCTGTTTTCAGATAATCCTCCCGCCTCAGCCTCCCAAGTAGTAGCTGGGACTACAAGCTTGTGCCACCACACTCAGCTAATTTTAAAAAATATTTTAAGCCGGGCTCAGTGGCTCAACCTGTAACCCCGCGCCTTGGGAGGCTGAGGTGAGTGGATTGCCT